ACGGTCGGCCCACGGTCGCATCCAAGTGGAACTACCGCAACACGGGTCTGGCTCACGACCGCGGACGCTGCTGGTCGATCAAGTAGCTTGACGATGGACCACATAGAAAAAGAAAAACCCATAGTGGTAATCCCGGTAATACACCGCCTGACAAGAATAGGAGCGCTGGGAGCTTGCCAGCAAAGGCGCTCCACTGGGTCGAAATCTCAAAATAGACGGTATATTTTTATTCCGACGTATCCATCATTTAATTCGCATAAACAAGCGCGATGCGGTCGTTTGCACATCATAAAATACCACGGGGCCACAAAACCGACGCGTCGATGGTATTAAATTTAGCCGGCGAAGCTCAGTTGAGTTTTGGTCGGAGCATGGACAAGCAAGTAGATACGAAGCTGCCACGCGTCGTCTTCGAGAGCATTCCACGCCTCTTCGCCTACGACGCGACGCCCCACCACGGTGTCTTTGACCATTACGAGCGCGAGACGCCGTCCTGGCACGCGCTCACCAAGCTGCCGCTCGTGCAGATGCAGAACGTCAAGGTGCTCTACTGGGTCCGCCACGCCGAGGGCCACCACAATGCCGCCGAGCGCTTCTACGGCACGCCGACGTGGGACGCGACCATCTCACTCTCGGACGAGTATTTGGACGCTGCGCTCAACGACGCCGGCCTTGCCGACGCCCGGAACCGGTCAACGCACATGCTCTACGAACGCCATCTCGGGCTGCCGCTGGACAAGATCATCGTGTCGCCGCTCACACGGACGCTGCAGACGGCGCACGAGCTCTTTCGCCTCAACGACTCGAGCGTTCCGCCGGTGCCCATCGTCGCGATCGAGAACTGCCGCGAGACGCTCGGCGTGCACACGTGCGACAAGCGCAGTCCGCGGTCATACCTAGCCAAAGCCTTTCCCAAAGTCAACTGGAGCCTCATTGCAGACGAAGAGGACACGCTATGGTCGCCTACCCATCGCGAGACAGACGCGGAGATCCAAGCGCGCTGCCATGCGTTCTTGGACGACGTCTTCACGCGCATCCCCGACAAGTACATTGCCGTCGTGTCCCACGCCGGGTTCATCCAAAACTGCATGGTGCTTCTGCGGTACCCCAACTACAAGCCAAAGAACTGCGAGACGATCCCGACCGTGGTCCAGCGCACGTTGTTTGCACCGTCCGTCGTCGCCAAGCAGCTGCCGCCCGCGGAACCCATGATGGAGCTCTCGTCGCTCTTGGCGATGCTGCTCGTGCTGGTTCTCTCTTGCAGAGCTCTGCGCAAGTAGCATCGACCAAGCGATGCACACAAATAGTTAGTTCAAAGCATATGTAATACGATCGTGGATGCGACGCCTTCGTTAGCGTGATACTAGTACACGTTTGACGAGAGGTCGATGCCGGCTTTGCGGTGAAGGCAACACACCACACGACCGACACGTGCCGACTTTGACTTGCCACGTCAGCATTACGCGCTGACGCAAAGATTGCGTCAACCCTGTTGGCAACGCCATGATGCAGCCTCCTTTTGTCCAGCAGCACAGCTCTGGGGGCGCGCGAGATCATTCGAGTCGACAGCTTGCTCGACTAGTGCTCGCACGATGTCCAGCCTGAGCCTGCACAAGCTTCATGCCCCTTTACCTGTACTTTGCGCATACAATTCAAACCATGAACGCTCTGCAGAATCAAAATCTGCAATGAGTTCGAGTCCGACGACAACCCACGATAAAGTTGCCACTTGGAGACTGAGCACTTGATTTTTGTATAGCTCGAGGCGGTGCAGCCATCGTCCTTGGCCACATGTCGACAACAATCATTTATTCCCTTGCACGTCGATGACTAGCCAAAGAAATAGCCCAACGCCGCCCAACATGACGTGCAAATCAAAATGGGCGCGATCTTTTGCGCCGTTGAGGCGTTTGATTGGTCGCTTCGGAACGTTTTTAGCCAGTTACATTTGTTCGGTCGCCCGATTGCGACGGAGATTCTGGCTTTTGCCATGGACGACTTGGTGTACGACGACCCGGTGTACGCGACCCTCCACGGCGGCTTCCACGTCGTGCCAGGTCACTTCGCCTACCACGCAGCGCCCGACCACGACGCCATCTTCGAGCACTTTGCCAGCGCCGAGACCGACTGGCGAGCCTTCGCCAAGGCCGTCCGCCGGGCCAACCGCCCCAACACCAAGGTGCTCTACTTCTTGCGCCACGCCGAGGGCGAGCACAACGCAGCCAAGATACGCCTCGGGCCCGAGGTGTGGTTCCGCGATGTCGCCATCACCAACGAGTTTCTTGATGCGCGTCTGACGGCGAAAGGCGAGGCCGCGGCCGCGAGCGCCGCCGCCCGCATGAAGTACGAGCTCCAGATGGGCTTGCCGCTCGAGAAGATCATCTTGTCGCCGCTGCGCCGCACGCTGCAGACAGGCACGACCGTGTTTGCGACCGAGATTGGCAAGGTCCCGTTTGTCGCAATGGAGCTCTGCCGCGAGACCATCGGTGTGCACACGTGCGATAAGCGGAGCCCGATCACCGAGATGGCCGCGCTCTTTCCGATGGTCGACTTTTCCGACATTGCCGAGAACGACGATGGCCTCTGGCAGCCCGATAAGCGCGAGTCTCTCGAAGAGATCCAAGCCCGCGCCGTGCAGTTTCTCAAGCACGTGTACGAGAACGTGCCCGAGACGTTTATTGCGATCACGTCGCACGTCGGATTCATTGGCGCGTGCTTGCGTGTGCTCGAGCAGACCGAGTATCGGTTAGACAACTGCGAAATCGTGCCCGTCGTCATCCAGTACACCGAACCGAGCAAGAGCCCGCGGAAACGCGTCGCGTAGCCTGCTGTACATAACCATTAAAGAGGCGACGACACTACGACAAGAGACTTTGAGTCTGGTTCCAGGTGGCTGGTCGCATCGATGTAATGACGCAGCACCTTTCCAGGCTCGGTTAGGCGAGAGATGTAGGAGATCCAACAACTTTATATGACGACCCTGCTCTATTACTTCAAGGCGCCGATGCGATCTCTACATGGCAAAGAGGTCGCGAAAGCCTTGCTTTTGGTCGGCCGTCAAGCTCGTCGGGAACAGCACGTTGATCTTGACGTGCAGTTGTCCTACATGCCAGAAGAGCTGCAGTCAGACATAGAGGACATCGACCTCGACACTACCTCGCTCGGACGCGTACTGGTACTTGGGCATGCCTTCGCTCGGAAGCGAAATCACTTGACTCGGCTCCGTGATCGACGACCGCGTCACTTCGACGCGGCGACCGTCCAGGTGCACAAAACTCTTCTTGAAGCCGATAAGCGCCTCCTTGAGCGAGATGTTCAATTCCATCCAGAGGTCGTCGCCGTCGCGCGAGAAGAGCTCGTGGGGCACGGTCGCAATGCGGAACCGGACGTGGCCGGCGCTGCGGTCGGCAAACTCGTCGGCGTAGTGCTCAAACTCAATCTCGTGGCCGTCCTGCATGCCCTTCTCGACGTCGACGTCGACTTCAACGTCGGCAAAGTTGGTCTTGTGGCCGCCGCACACGGGGCACGTGCTCGTGACAATCTTGCCTTTCCCATGGCACTTGGTGCACGTCGTCTGGAACTGCTGGATAAAGCCTGGTCCGACGCGCCGGGTCTCGAGCTACAAGACTATGAGTTCGTGGAGCCTGTGATCGCTTGTACCTTGACACCGTGGCCGCCGCACTCGTGGCACGTGTGGATGTCGTCGGCATGGGCTGCGCCTTTGCCGTGGCAGTGCTGACACACGGTCTTCCGCCGCATCGACACGGGAATGCTGCGGCCGTTGTACAAGTCGGCGAGCGACACGCGAAGCGGCACCGTGACGTCGTTGCCGCGCGACGGCTCCTGCTGGCGCTGGCGGCCGCCGCCGCCGAAAAACTGCGAGAAAATGTCAAACGGATCATGGCCGCCACCGCCGCCGCCGCCATTGTCCTTGAGACCGTCTTCGCCGTACATGTCGTACTTCTTGCGCTTCTCCGTGTCCGACAAGACCTCGTACGCTATAGAATTGTTACGGACCACGAATGGCAGTCGCCGACGTACCGCTGGCCACTTCGGCAAATTTCTTGGCGGCGTCTTCATCACCAGGGTTTTTATCAGGATGCAGCTACAAGCACGCCGCATGACGCCTCGGCCATGCCGGGCAAGCCTACCTTGAGCGAGAGTTTCCGGAAGGCCTTCTTGATCTCGGGCGACGATGCATCGCGCGAGATGCCGAGCACCTCATACAGGTCGCGCCCGGCGTACACAGCCGCGAGCAGCACGACAAGCAGCAGGACGAGCAGGCGAAGAGGCCGCCGAGCGTCCACGGTCGCTGCCATTGCACCAAATGGGTTTTGCGCCCTACGCTTGGAATATCTTTGAGTGCCAGTGCCTAATTAGGATAGTTCCTAGACGAGGTTCGATTGGATCAATATTTTTGTTTTCGGACTTTGACTGGCGCCAGCCACGTGGCGCTGCAGTTCTGGAAAAGGTGCGTCGCCCGAGCGTGCGATGCCTGGACAAGGACGCTGCTCATAGTTTGACCACATATTGCGTTCGCAGACACCGATCCTTAGCTCTTCGTAGAGCCTAGAGGCTATCAGATCTGCGTCTGCTTGGCGCTGCAACATCATGGACTCGCAATGGCCTGCATGGTGCTTTGTGTGCAATACAGCTTGGAGAGCGGCATGGGATGCTCAGGGAATAGCTCAGGGCAATGCAAATTTGCCGGCATGAAAACACGCCATCTCGTGGTAGTATAGGTCTTCTAACGCTTGAGTCGAGGAAGATGTTGTCTCCGAGGCTGGAAAATACTTCCTCCGTCGTTGTAGTTGAAATGCACCAATCACTGCACGGTGCGGCATCCATCGGAGCCAATCACAGGCGTTGGTTGACGGTGGAAGCATCTTCCAGGCATATTTTGCTTGTCATTCGTCCAGGTCATTCTTCAATTGACCAGCATGTTCACGTCCCGATCTATTTCCAAGAGCTTTGTCTCTGTGGCCCAGCGCGAAGGACCAATCACGGCCCGGTGCGGCATCCATTGGAGCCAATCACAGACGTTGGTTGACGGTGGAAGCATCTTCCAGGCATGTTTTGCTTGTCATTTGTCCAGCTCATTCTTCAATTGACCAGTATGTTCACGTCCCGATCCATTTCCAAGAGCTTTGTCTCGGTGGCCCAGCGCGAAGGTGTCGGCGCGACCGTGCGCCGGTCCATTGGTCACCCGATGCTGCGCCGCCTCGACCCGTTCTTGATGCTCGACGAGTTCCACGTGCAGCTCCCCGGCGGGTTTCCCGACCACCCGCACCGCGGCTTTATGACCATCACGTATCTCTTGCCGCACTCGCCCGGCACGATGCTTCACGAGGACTTTTGCGGCCACCGCGGCGAGCTCGCGCCTGGTGACCTCCAGTGGATGTGCCCAGGCCGCGGCATCGTCCACTCGGAGATGCCTGCGAGCCGCAACAAGCCCGCGATTGGGCTCCAGCTCTGGCTCAATTTGCCCAAGTCGCTCAAGATGACCGAGCCCAAGTACCAGGAGATTCCGGCCAAGGGTCTCCCGCGCGCCAAGAAAGGCAACGTCGAGGCGATCGTGATCGCAGGCCAAGCCATGGGCGAGACCGCCAGTGTCTTTACCAACGTCCCGATCACGTACGTGCATTTCATCTTCTCAGGCGCCGCGTCGCACTCGCATGCGCTGCCGAAAGACCACAATGCGTTCGTATACGTCATCTCGGGCGAGGGCTTCATCGGTGGCACGCGCGTCGAGCCGCACTCGGTCATTTTGCTCTCGGCCAACGGCAACGAAGACGGCGTCACGCTCGAGACGACGGGCGAAATGCAGTGTGTCGTGCTCAGCGGCAAGCCCATCAACGAGCCCATCGAGCAGTACGGCCCGTTTGTCATGACGACCCGTGCCGAGCTCCAAGCCACGATCCAAGACTACAACTTTGGCCGCAACGGCTTTGAGAACGCGGCGGATTGGAGCTCGTCGATTGCCGAGCTCGCGTACAAGTAAGGCGGCTTCAATTCCACATTGCGTTCATTTTAATCGATATGCAACATAATATCTTGTTGTGGGAGCTAGTAAGGGGTAGGGTTGGAATCTGAACGAGACGACCTCTTTGCAGGCAATGATATATGCCTGAAGCACGCTTTTGCATGTGTGAAGAACCTCATACTGAAATTCCTCTCGACCAAAAACGCACGAGTCTTGTCTCTTGCCTCAACTTTGCGATACTTCAAGGGTTGGAGAGCGGAATCGCATGTTTCAACCGACCGCAATCGGGTGCAGTCGGCAGCATGAGGAGGCGCCACGTCTTGGTGTCGAAAATGTACCACGTGTTCTTGTGCTGCAGCGAGAGCAAGCCGGCCATGATGCCAGACGACGTGTCGAGGAAGAACGCGTCGCCGTGACGCCAGTGGGTCCAGCTGAGCATGTACAAGCTCTGCGCATTGAGCAGGAGCGCTTTGGCAGCGCCGACGACAAGCGCGGCACACGCCAGCGTTCGATGGCATACGATATCACGACGCAGCCACACGCAATACCGACGGTGACTTGGAGGCGTGCGTAGCTGCCAATAGCGACGTAGCCACTTGTGCAGACAAGCGCTGCGTCCATGTCGCGAGCGTCGCAGGACCGCTGCAGCTGACCAAGCGGCGACAGTGGCTGGATGGATGCCACGCAGATGAGAACGAGCCATGCGAGGTTGGAGCTCTTGAACGCGTAGAGCGACGTGTAGTGGTGCGTGGCGCAGCTCAGAAGATCGTTGAGAACGTAGACAAGCCACGTCACTTCGGACGCGCCGAGGACCGTCTTGTACCACGGCAGTTTAGGTAGAGCAAAGTGCGTTGCCGCACCGACTTGAACGAGGTCGGCGACGCTCGTGTTGAGGAGGCACAGCGCCGTGACGCTGCGCAAGAGCAAGAAGGGGCGACCGAGCCAGACGAGTCCGACGACGCGGTTGATGCAAAAGAGGTTGCGGCTCTCGAGACGGCCGCGGGAGCGGAGCGCGTTCAAGAAGACAAGGCTCATGACGAGAATGATGACGACAGTGACGTACGCGACGCCTTGTTGCAGCAACGCTGCGTAGCTCGCTCGGAGTTGCGCGGCGTCGGGCGGCATTGCGTCGGGGCCGTGCCCCCCGAGATGGTGGTGATGATGCCGGCGTTGCCTTGGAAAGAAACCACTTCGCGCATGCCGATGGCCCACTCGTAGAGACTGCACCAGCCGTAGAAGCTCCAGCCGCGGTCGTTGTCGTCCAACAGCGGAATCAACATGAGGCTTCCTGGACCAATAGAACCACCGAGGGCGTACTGCACCAGTGTAATGTTGTGGGCGAGAACGTCCGCGTAAAGTGCCCTCGCAGTGCGCTCAAGAGTCGCAAAGTCGATCGCGTATTGACGCAAAAAGTTGAAGAACGTCGCATAGTCCCCCGCGCAGTTGGCGACGATGGTCGTGTCCAACGCGCAAATGCCGTCGAAATCCGAGGTGGCGTTGAGGGATAGGGTAAACTCAAACCCGAGAAAGGCAAACAAGAGTTGCAGTCGGGACGGAAACATGACTTCGCTGCTGACAAAGCGGCACGGGCTCGTGGCTGTGAATTGACTGTAGAGGCCCGTGGCGCCGGATAAGAGTCCGTTGTCGATACCGCAAAAGAGGTTGCCGCCACCGAGCAAGATTGAGAGGTCGTCGAGCAAGAAGCGTGGAGCCGCCACGAGATTGTACTTGACAGGCAGTGACAGAAACGTCGTTTGGGCGTTTGGGTCGCGAAGGAGGAGCGAAGACAAGGCGCTGCTGACACCGGCGTAGAAGGCGAGGAGGGACGGCGGTGGCACGAGGTACACCATGTCGATGGCATTGAACGGACCGACATTCGACTCGAGCGATGCTATCTCGCTCGGAAACGGCGACGTCAGAGTGCGATTCTCGACGAGAAGGCCCCAGCTGGACGCATTGCGGAACGCAAAGTTGGCGCTGGTCCGCAGCAAGCTCCGGCCACAGATGCCTGTCGTGTTGGCGCCAATGGCCCAGAGGTCGCTCGCGAACGCCCAGTACATCATGTAGGACGTCTGGTGCTGAGGGTGCATCGAGGCGGGTATGTAACTCAGCGCCAGTGGGTACGAGAGACCAAGGGCCGTCTCGATCGTCAGCGCATCGTCGAGTCCGATCGTCTTGTAGTTTTGCCACTGCAGCGTAAAGTGAGCAATGTTGTGTTGACGCCACGCACGAGCCTCTTGGTCGATAGAGAGAGCGGTGTCCGTGAGCGACGCGAGCCATTGACGGCCAGTGAGGGTCATTGACAGATCCTTTCCGAAACCCACATGAAAGGAATGGCCCCAGCATCGATCCCAAGCATCCCAGTCATCGACGTTGCGCAGCGGAAGCTCGAGGTACACGGCGCCATTTCTCATCATGTGTGAGGCACAACGCCTCTGCCGACCTTGTGTACTTGCCATCTCCCATGTCTGGTTGAGGTCGAGCCAGCAGTACTGCGTAAACATCCACGGCAGGAGGCATGGATCCATGCGGCGAAGGTTGGCCACGACGATCTCTAGCGACGGAGTCGACTGGAAGAGCGCCCGGCGCGCCGCGGTGCTGCTCCAGACGATCGTGCCTTCGGATCCGTTGTAAAAGCGAGAGTAGTCGAGAAGCCGGGGGTCGTCGAGGTGCAGCGGAGCCTCGGTCGTCGTGAGCAGCAGCTCATTGAGCTTCGTCGCCAAGTACGCGTGCGTGCTGGAGCTGTTGAAGCCGCTCCAGAAAAGTCGTTGGCGAGGCTCTCTTGGATAATGGAGAGAAACGCCACGTTGCCAATCAGCGTGAACGCAGTGTAGCCAAGACCGAGGAGCAGTAGGGTGTAGTGTGCTCGAGACGACGGCGGAACGACGACGCAGGTGGTGTCACGACACGCTACGTGGACAACGTCAGCCATCGATTTTGTAGGACCCAGGTCCAGTGACAGCCACCGCGTGATGTCAAAGACACCGCAGCGGCTGCAGAGGAGACCTCCCATGAACGCTGTGACGGGGTTCGTCGTTTCCGCCTCGCCGTTTAGAAAGCAAGTCGATAGACCCGTCCAAAGCGCACTTGACGCAGACAATGCTGGCGGTCTCGGTGCTGCGACCAAGGTTGCTGCGGCCGCCACGAGGATCGCACCACCAACGTTGATGCCAACGACACCAAGTGTTCGCGTCCAGTGACCGAGAACGAGCGCGCCGCTGTCGCAGAAGACAAAGTTGACCATATTGACCGTACTGCAGGTCTGGTCCGTCGATGCAGCCGCGTGCAATGGCGCCAAGACGTCGAGTAGAAGCACGAGTAGCCATGCTACGAGTGTGCTCACTCTGGCCGAGAGGCGCGTATGTGATTGCGTCATCGGGTGCAGTAGCTCTTGCGTGGCGTACGCCAGCCACGTTGTCTCGCCGGCCAAGAGCGCCGATACCGCGACAGACCGCGGCGCTTGTTGAAATGCGACGGCACCAAGATGTGTTGACGTTGCCAGTGGCACAGACGCGAGGCAGAGCGCTGCTGTCCCGCCGCGCAAGACCAACAGACTTCGACTCAGCCACGTAGAGCCCACGATGCGATTGAAGACAAACCAGTCGCTGTCGTATGGTCGATAGACGAGCCAGAGAGCTACGACGACCAGTGCGACGGCAAGCAAGCCAGCTGAAGTGACCGCGGCGCCGTACCACATGTAAATGGCCAAGCTAGAGGACATGGACGACGATGGTTCCATCGGCTTGGAAGCGTAGGCACTCGACATGATATGCCACGTAGCAACGTCGCCTTCGAAGGACACGACTTCCTTGGTGTGCGTGACCCAGTCGTAGACACTCATCCAGCCAAAGAAGGCCCAGTCTGGTGCCAGCAAGAAGTGCTGCGACACGTTCACGTTGCCCGAGAGGTAGCTCACCGGCGTTAGCAGCTGCCAGTAGCTTAGATTGAGTGCGGCAATGTCTGGTATAACAATGTCACCAAAATCGATGAGATCAAACGCTGCTTGGGTCCGTTGACGCTGTGTGACGCACGCATGCACTTGACTCGGCGGGCACCGCTGGCAAATTTCGCGCTTTTGAGACGGCGTTTGTTGCAGAGCCAGGGTTGCAAAGAGGCTGTTAAACGCACTCCACTCGATCGTGAGCGGTAACTGTGGGCCACATTTGGCATCAAAACTAAATGTCTGCTGCACGAACGGCAGAGGTTTGCCAAAGAGACAAAAGGGGCTGCCGCTGTGAAAAGCGATCGATGGGTCGCTCCAAATAGCTGGCGTCGGTGTCAATACCATTGGTGCCAAAGCCAAGACGGCAGTTGATGCATTCTTGGCTCGCATGGCGGTTAGGACGGCAGTTCGGAAGCGTTGGACAGCTGTGACGAGCGATACTGGCGGTGACAGCCAGCGTAAATCGATATTGAAGAACGGCCCGAGGGCGTCTTGTAGAACCAACACCTCGTACGGGATTGGAGGGCCCATGTTAAAAATGACGAGCACCATCGGATCGCGAGCGCCAAAGAACGTCGTTGCATTGCGCACGAGGCTCTGGTTGTGGCCGAGCGCCTGGAGATCGTACTCGAATGGCGCGAGCAGGTTGCAGGTCGTCCACCCGGTCTCTCGTGCCCTGGTGGGTGACGATCCAATGAGAAAAGACCGAACTTGACCCATGGCATTGGTCACGTCAACGGTATCTTGAATGCCTGTGGCGACACGGTTGGCGTACTGCAGCTCGTAGCGCGTCACGTGAAATGACGCCCAGAAATCGACCTCGTCAGGCACCGAAACCCACTCGTGGGCCATCAGTGACGACAGCCAGCGCTGGCCATCGATACTGGCCGCCACAGCGTCGGCAATCGCAAAGTTGAATCGCGCGCCGTTCAAGTCGAGCCAGTCGCGGAGCTGGATGTTGCGTAGCGTCGCTTCGAGGTACACGGCGCCATTGGCGGTGTACCGAGCTACGCAGCGCTCTTGCCGCGCCGCCGAGTGCGCGAGCGCCCAGCGCTGCTGCAAGTCGACCCAGCAGTACGCCGTCATGAGGTTCGTCACGAGTCTCGTCTCGAGGCGGCGAAGGCCGTTGATCCCATCTTGCACGGTCGTCAGCTTGTCGTACAGGAGCATGCGCGTGAAGACGCGGGTATTTCCGCGCGCGTCAAACTGTGCTAGCGGCAACCCATTCTCAAAGGCCATCAAGTCGAAGCTATGACGCGACGCATTGCCCAACAGCTGCGTGCGAAAGGCTGCTGCGAGCGCTGTCGAGACGGTGGCCGCGTCAAAGTCGCGCCAGAAAAAGTCGTTGGCCATGTACGGGGCAAAGAGGTAGAGACAATAGCAACTGAGTCCCATGGAGACAACGAGGTACCCGATGCCGAGGACATCGGAGAGGCGTCGGCGCATGATCCTTTCTGCGCGGTCGGTTACTCCATGTGTCGGTTTCGACTGCGATCGAGAGCGGTCTGTGGCGGTGCCACGTCACATACCAAGCACTAGTGTTGCCACAGCGAGTCCACAACGCTCGATTAAGTGAGCAATAGAGTGGTCTCTTGTCTCGTCCTTGAAGCCATCGATTGAAAGCACCATCGACAAACGCAGCAGCGACTCCAACGAGGCTTTAAACTCATATTCGATTGGTCGATCGATGTTTGCAAACGATTTTGATTGGCGGTTCGAAAAATGGATTATTTGTCGCTCGACGTCGTTTTCCGCTGCCGTGATTCCTTCGTGAGCTCTTCCATCTCGACCATGGCGTCGTCCCAGTCGCTCTCAAGGTCGTCTTCGGTGACGTGGCGTCCATCATCCTCGTCATCTTCGTCGTCGACCTCGACGAGGATCGCGGGGGGCCGGCGTCGGCGGCCGCTGCGCATGTAGAACAACGTCAAGAGGGTCGCAACCAATCCACTCGAGAGAGCAGCGAGAAGCACAAGCGCATGCCACATCGTCGACGTCTCGCTGGCTCTTACTCCGAGGTCGCACGCGGCCTCGGCCGTCGCATTCCAGTACGTCGGCACAGAAATTTCCTGGCGCGTGTCGGTAAAAGGGACGCGCTGCACGAAACGCGTAAAGAGGTCGAGCGCCGCAAGGGGCACGTCGTACGGCACCATGTGGCCCGCACCCGAGACGATGGCAAACGTGAGGTTGCCGCCCGTTTGCACAAAGCCCGCGGGGACGTCGTGGCCCTTGACGCGCCACGTGTAGCGCTCGGCGGCTTTGAAGTCGTCGCGGCCGGGCCATTGGAGCTCGTAGAGGACGCGCTCCGTGTTGAACGCATTGCACATCATGTCCCACTAGAACGTAGGATATAAAAATAAGAAAAAATAAGAAAGACCGCGCATGTCGTACCTGGCCGTTGAAGAAGAGCACGTCGACGCCGTCGCGCAGCATCGCGTCCACGTCGTGGAGCGTACTCACAGCGTCTTCGTGGCCCAGCGCGCCGTACACATCGTAGTTGCACTGCTCGAACGGCTGCGTGTTGCTCTCGACATGCAGCGCCTTGCGCACCTCCGGCTGATCCAAGTACGCGCTGATGCGCTCTTTGGCTGGCGGGTACTCGTTCGAGCTTCCGTAGGCGCGCACGTCGTAGAAATTCAGCGGCACGTTGCCGCGCACGCTGTCCATGATGCTGTCCAAGTTGGCAAAGCAAGCGGCGTCGTGGTAGACACCGCGCGCAATGGCGTCAGTGCAGACCGTAAACTACCGTCCATGATGGGAATTGAACCCACAAGACGATCGCACCTTGGTTTGGAGCGTGCGCATTTGACCGAGCGAAATGAGCCCGAGACCGTGGGCGAACCCACTATAGTCGTACTGGATGAGCGGGTGGACCCAGCCGTTGCCAATGCCGGCACCGTGAATCTGGATCTAGAGAAATTGAATCTGAATAACCAGTTTCGAGAACGAAAAGACGCCGACCTGAAGACCGTGCGTATTGCGTGCATTCTCAGTCGCAATGTGGCTGTAAAATTGCGGGATCCATCGACCCGCGTGCGACTCGCCGAAAAAGTAAATCGGTCGCGAGACAAGGCCATGGACGTACTCGGGGTGCTGCTGGAGGAACCCGAGAAGGAACGTGTAGAAGTGGGCCGCGACCGCTGCCCCGGACGACGGATACGCGCGCGTCCCGAGTGTCGAGAGACCCGTGCCGACGGGCTGGTCCACAAAGAGGACGTTGCTCGTCTTCTGCCATCCGTACTCGTTGCGCGACAGCGTCAAGTCGGCTTCAATGTGGAACGGACCGCACTCCATGAACAAGCCGAGCATGCTCGTGCAGCCAGGTCCACCGTTGAGCCTACGACGTCGTCCTCAGTGTCTATGCCGCAAGGTGTGATCAAACCCACCAGATAGTCAATGGCGCCGTCGTTGGGTCCTTCACTTCGGCCTCGACTAGCCAGTAGAAGAGACGGCCATTGTTTGTGGTGTCCACTTCGACATGGCCAGCGTAGTGCGCCGACTTCATCCCGCCCGCGGCGAGGCCAGGCAAGGCCTGGACACGCGTCGCGCTCGTAGCATTCGAAACCGCTGCGTCTGCACGGCGAAGGCCATGCACCGGGGCTGCCAGGAGTAGCAGGCCCACGGCTGCCAGCAGGACCAGCATGCTGCGACGACCCGTTGTCATGCCCCGTATCTTGCTTGGCGTACGTGTATGACGCAGCTTGGCTTGCTCTGTACATTCGGCATATGCCACCTTGAAGTGCTAGGCACATCCAATAGTGTGAAAACAAATAGTGTACTCTAGGCACCATTTTACGCCCGATGCAATCGACAGAGCCGAGCGCCTTGCAGCTGCTGCTACCGGTACATGGTAGTTTAAGGGTTTTGAACGTCGTATTTGTAAGGCTATGGTTGCAGTGTACTTGGGAGCTACCTTGATGGAAGGGGAAACCCTTGATTTTGGATATCCCACCTGATGCTTTCTCGCAGGTCTCTCAAGGCAACTTTAGTGAAGGTCCCTTCATAAAAGTACTTTATCGAAACCTGGGACGTGGTGCCAAAAAGACCATCATTAAAAAAGCATCAAGCTTATTGTTTGTATGTGGATTTGTTCGCGAAGCATTTAATTTAATTTGGATTTTAATTCGTGCGAATGGAAATCGCCGGGCAAAGCCAAACCCCAAATCTCGGACGGACCATGAAGCTCACCGTGAAGACGCTCCAAGGCGTGGCCTTCCCCATCGAGGCCGAGCTCACCGATACGGTGCGTCCCATCCCCCGCACCAGCTAGAGGCTCATGAGCCAATGCAGGTGCTCAGCGTCAAGGCGAAGATCGAGCAGCAGAACGGGTCGGCCGTCGACCTGCAAAAGCTCATCCACGCGGGCAAGGTCCTTAAGGACGAAAGCCCCCTCTCGGAGTACAACGTCAAGGAGAATGACTTCTTGGTCGTGATGGTCACCAAGGTAGCCAATCACCACCACACTTCATGACTTTTTACCGTTGGGTTAGCCCAAGGCGGCGAAGAAGCCGGCGGCTGCGCCCGCTGCGGCCCCAGCGGCTACCCCGGCGGCGGCTCCCGTCGCGGCCCCCGTTGCCGCGTCTGTGGCTACCCCGGCGGCCCCTGCCCCGGCGGCCCCCACGGCTACGCCTGCTGCTGCTCAAGCTGAGGCCCCCGCTGCTCCCGCTGGCATCGTTGTCGGTGAAGCTCTCAGCGCTACGATCCAGCAGCTCTGCGATATGGGCTTTCCGGAAGACCAGGTATGTCGTGGCTTGGCGTGTGCATAATTTCTCAGTGATCCGCACGCTAGGTCCGCTTGGCCCTTCAGGCCGCCTTCAACAACCCCGACCGCGCCGTCGAGTATTTGATGAACGGTATTCCCGACACCCGTCAGATCCCCGTCGGTGGCGCACCTGCTGCCGCCGCTCCCGCCGCTCCGTCGGCTGCCGGCGGTCTCGCCGGTACCAACTCGCTCGAAGCGCTCCGCAACCACCCCCAGTTTGACGCGCTTCGCCGCTTGATCCAGTCCAACCCGGCGGCGCTCCCGACCGTGCTCCAGCAGATTGGCGGCCAGGTACCATTCATTCTCTATCCCTATGGGCAGACATGACGTGGCTCACATACATGGGACGTAGAGCCCGGAATTGCTGCGCTTGATCCACGCCAACCAGGAGCAGTTTGTGCGCATGCTCAACGAGCCGATCGCGGAAGCCGCGCCGGCCGACCAAGGCGGCTTTGGCGACATGGACGACATGGGCGGCGCGATGCCGACACCGCAGCAGCTCCAGCAGCTCATGGCGTCGCTGTCGCCCGAGCAGCAGGCGCAAATGGCGGCGCAAATGGGCATGACGCCGCAGCAGCTGCAGCAGTTTTCGCAAATGCTGAGCCAAATGCCGCCCGAGGCCGTCCAGCAAATGATGCAGCAGATGGGCGGCGGCGCGCCCGGCGCGGGCGCGCCTACGCGTATCCACCTCACGGAAGAGGAGGCTGCGGCCATCAACCGCCTTGTCGACATGGGCTTTGACCGCAACGAGGCCGTCCAGGCGTACTTGGCGTGCGACAAGAACGAAGCATTAGCAGCCAACTTCCTCATGGACAGCATGTCGGGCGACTACGACGACGCGGCCGGCGGCAACTTTGGCGGCGACTCGAACGACGACATTTATGGTTGAGCGCCCACAGCGACTCGTTGTCGACCGCTAGCTAGACCCGTATTAAGAAGAGCTTATAGTCGTTGGCACCGACGCCGCAAGGGTGCGGGCTTTTAAGAGTCTCTTTTTTGCTTTTCCGTTTTGGGTCCAAATTCAAGCAGCAAAGACGCACGCAGGGTGGGACGACCGAGATTCGGCAAGGCGGTCTTGGGTTCGTTTCGCCTCGCTCGGCAGGGCAACTCCCTACGAATCGGCACGCGACGGGGCGAGCGCTCGATCCATGGGGATGTCCGAGGGCGTCGTCGAGATTTTAAGCACCCAAGATGGAAATAAGAACCGATATCTCGCTCTACCTTATACGTGCGTCGCCGTTCTTGCTGCGGACGATAGCTCATCGAGGAGGCGAAATTCGAGCAGATCTTCTTCGCGTGTGCCCTCGTCGAGAGCTTGAGAGACAAGGCGGCGGACTCTGGTCCTGGGATCTTGCCGACTGCTTCAACTTGCGATGGATTTATTCCAAGGTACCTCGGCAGTGATCGCTCGCGACTCACAGTGCGTGGCTACGCCCCTGCGACCGACGCGTCGACCGTCAATATATGCCTCTCGCCAGTGTTTTATTTTTGTGCAACTACGTCCAATTTGTATCCGAACTATACTCCTGCCAGTCGTTCATCGTCGTCGTGGGCGGTTGGATTGGGCGGTTGCCATCAAGGGCAAGATGTGTGTCATGTCGCTCTGCAGCTCCGGCTGTGACCCGGCTGCAACTTGAGCTTGTCCGTGCGTTGACGTCTTGGGTTAGGACGTTGCACCCAGAAAGTGAGGGAATTCCCCGTAGCCTTTCTATTGCGAGCGTGTGTCTTTGCGCCCAACATTTGAAAGTGCACTTTGGCTCACTTCCCTTTTCCAAGCAAGTAGCGAGCATGCTGATCTTGTACGGGTCGCAGACGGGCACGGCCGAGTCGTACGCCAAGATCGTGCACTCGTTTGCGAAGGCGCGTGGCCTCGCCTCGCGCATGATGCCGGCGAGCAGCTACGACATGGCCGCGCTTCCGCTCGAGGACGAGAACGTCGTGCTCTTCATCACGTCGACGTTTTACAACGGCGAGTTCCCCAACAACTTTGCGTCGTGCTGGGAGTACCTCAAGAACGATGCGCCGGCCATGCTCAACCTCAAGTTTGGCGTCTTTGGCCTCGGCTGCTCGACGACCAAGGACAACTTTAACCGCGCGGCCAAGTCGGTGCGCGCGCGCCTCCTCGACCTCGAAGCCGTCGAGCTCATTCCGGCCGCGTACGGCGACGAGCACGACGCGTGCGGCCACGAGACAGCCTTTCGTCCGTGGATCAAGTCGCTCTGGACCGCGCTCCTCGGCGACGACCAAAAGATGACGCTGCCCGTGCACTATGACGTGCGCCAGTTCCACATGGACGCGCCCCGCGACTTTGGCCCGTCGTTTGGCAACTTTACGGTTGTTAGCAACGAGCTGCTTACGCCCGAGGGCTACGAGCGACCGACGTACCTCCTCACGATGGACCTCCCAGACGGCATGAGCTACCAGACAGGCGACCACGTCCAGCTCGCGTACACCAACCCCGACGACCTCGTCGAACGCGCGGCCGCGCGCCTGCGCCTGAACCTCGACACGGTCGTACAGATGCAGCCGCTCGAGTCCAACTTGCCCAAGACGTTTCCGTCGACGGCGCCCGTGACGGTCCGCGCGCTCCTGAAAGAGTACCTCGACTTGGCTTCGCCGCCGAGCCGGTCGTTCCTCGAAGGTCTCTCGATGCTCGCGTCGGACCCCGAAGAGGCAGCGTATCTGCAGAACCTCGCCGAGGACATGGGCGTCGGCAACCTCTACATGCGCTACGTGAGCGGCGGCATGCTCCGCGAGCCGTTCACGCTCATTGACGTGCTCGAAGACCATCCGTCGATCAAGGTCAAGCTCGACCACCTCCTCGGGAACGTCCGGCCCATCATGCCGCGCTATTACTCGATTTGCTCGAGCCACTTGGTGTCGCCGCGCCAGATTCAAGTGTGCTACATGGTCGACCAGTGGTACTGCACAAAGGACCCGACCGTCGTCATCCAAGGCGCGGCCGCCGGCTTTCTCTCGCACCAAGTGCCCGGCAACCGCGTCACGGCCAAGACGAGCCGCGGCTACTTCAAGATCCCCGAGACGCTGTACGTGCCGATCATTGGCGTCGCGCTGGGTACTGGCATTGCATTCTTCCGCGCACTCATGCAGCACCGCGCGGCCATGCACGTCGAGTCGCCGGACGCGCCCGTGACGCCGCTGCGTCTCTACTATGGCGTGCGCCACGCGTCCAAGGACTTTCTCTTCAAGGACGAGCTCCACGGGTGGGAAGAGGAGGGCCTCCTCGAGCTCATTCCCGCGTGCTCGCACGATTCGGCGGCCTTTGTGACGCCGGCCACCAAGCTCGCCGAGCACCCGGAGAAGGTCTGTGAGTACCTCGACAATGGCGGCGTGTACTTTTACTGCGGCATTGGCGGTGTCATCCCCAACTACCACGAGGCGTCGGTGCTGCACGCGCTCATGGAAGGCCACGGCGACGAGACGACGGCGGCCATCGAGGCCTCGACCATTGAGGCGCTCAAGGAGTCGGGTCGCTGGCAAGTGGAGGCCTTCTCGCGGTCGCTCGACCACGAAAACGCGCTGCAGCAAGCCCAAGACGTGGTCCTCAACAAGGACCGCCGACCGATTGCCGATGTGCTCAGAGACTGCGAGATGTTTTGCTACCAGTGCGCGCAGACGAGCCAGGGCGTTGCGTGCACCAAGGTCGGTGTCTGCGGCAAGACGCCGACGGTCGCCGCGCTCCAGGACCTCGTCATGGAGCACCTCAAGCACCTCTCGTGGCTCGCGCACCAGATTCGGTCGCTGGACGCGGGCGACGACAGCGAGCTCTTGCGCGCGCTCGATGCCTTTACGCTCGACGCGGCGTCGTCGACGCTCACGAACGCCAACTTTGACCCGATGCATTTTGTGGCGCTCGTCGACAAGGCGCTGACGTTCTACGAGCCGCTGCAATCGCTCTACAACGAGTCGGCCATGGCGCTCGACGAAGACCCGCTGCCGACGCCGTGGATCCATCGCGAGTTGCCGCAGAGCGCGGCCGCCGCCTCGGACGTGGACATGGAAGACCTCGTCAAGCACAGCAAGAAGGTCGGCGTGCTCTCGCGCCTCGCCTTGCGCGCAACGACGCGCTCGTGGGCCTGCAAGAGATGCTCGTGTACGGCCTCAAGGGCTCGCCGCCTACGCGGACCTGGCGGCGACGACAGGCGCCAACGACGCCGAGGTCCAGAGCTTTGTCCACGAAGCGTTTGCGTTCCTCTTGACCAAAGACGCGAGCAACGTGGATGCGTGCATTGAGATGCTCATGCGCGTCGGCCAAGTCAACCTCGTCGCGATGGAGCTCCTCGCCAAGGCCAACGGCCCGCAGTCGCCGGCGACCGTCTCGATCGCGCCCGTGTCGGGCCACGCGATCTTGGTGTCGGGCCAAGACCTCTATGTCGTCCGAGCGCTCGTCGCGCAGTGCGCCGCGTACGAAGAAGCCAATGGCGTGCACATCAACGTCTTTACGCACGGCGAGCTCCTCACAGCGCATGCGCACGAAGACCTCCGCGCGTCCGGGCACCTCGCGGGCCACTTTGGCACCGCGTGGCAGCGCCAGTCGATGGAGTTTGGCCACTTTCCCGGCGCGATCCTCATGACGACCAACTGCCTCACGCCGCCCCAGACGACGTACAAGGATCGTCTCTTCTGCGCCGGCATGGTGGGCTACCCGGACGTGCCGCACTTGGCGGCCGACGACCTCTCGGCGCTCCTCGACAAGGCGGTCGCGTGCGCCGGCTTCACCGACGACGACGCGACGTTCTCGTACCCGCCCAACCCGTTCGTGCCGTCGGCCACGTCGTACACGGTTGGGTACGGCGTCGACACGCTGGTCGCGCGCGTCGATGAGATTGTCGACGCGATGAACGCGGGCGAGATCTCGCGCTTCTACATCGTGGGCGGCACGGACGGCTACGAGGGCGAGCGCACGTACTACACGGACCTCGTGAACGCCTTGCCGCCGACCAGTGTCGTCCTCACGTTTGGCTGCGGCAAGTACCGCATGAACCACATGGACCTTGGCACGATCGGCGAGACGGGCATTCCTCGGCTCATTGACCTCGGCCAGTGCAACGACGTGCTCGGCGCGATCGAGCTCGCCAAGGCGATCGCTGCCAAGATGGACGTGACCGTCTCGGACCTCCCGCTCTCGATCGTGCTCGCGTGGTTTGAGCAGAAGAGCATCGTGACGATGCTGACGCTGCTCTCGCTCGGCATTTGCCACATGCGCGGCGGCCCCACGACGCCGGCGTTCTTGCGGCCGTCCGTCTTTGAGATCATGCGCGACCGGTACAACCTCAAGATGATCTCGGTCAGTGCGCCGCGGGACGTGACCAACATGCTCTACGGCGCGTAATTGCCACCAGCTCGTCTGTGGATAGTGTACACAATGTCTGTAAACCAACGATATATATATACATTGATATTCTCTAAAACATGGACGGGGTGTGGATGCGCACCGCGTCGAGCGGCGCAGGCTCGAGGCCGTGGAACTTGTCGAAATCGATCTTGACGCCGCCCTCGGTCGACCGCTCGACGCAGCGCGCAAACGACGCATGCCACGCCACGTCGCTCGCCGTGTACGAGTAGCGTGCCTAGGATGATGCGCGTGCAGCTGGATACGTTGGTTTTATCAACATACCTGCATGGTGTTGGACGTCGTGCTGTCCTCGCCTTCGAGGACGACGACGACTTCGAGTTCGCTCGCGGCGATGTGCCGACGGATCTGCTCCTCGGTGGGCACGGCCGGTACAAAGCTCGTGTCGTTGTAGTCGCGGTTGCCGTTCTCATGGTCGATCGCACGCTGGCACGGATCTACATCCGCAATGATGATACTGCTTGTGTCATCCAGCACAGCGGGATGGGCAGGACATACCTGGGAACGCTGCCGCCGTCGACGCGTCATAGTCGGGGCGTTGACACTCGCGAGGGTAGAACGGACTCCATTGGTCAATACGGTGGACCTATTACAAGTATCAACTTGATACTATATGGGGTCCGCGACGATTTACCACGACTTGAGGCAGCGCCATGAGAAGGTACGCGCCGACGTCGTCGTCGGGCTGCTGGAGTCGCATGTGATGCGTCTGGAAGAGCGCGCCTTCGGTGCCGTCGGGGTTGATGTCGTGGCGCACTGCGTAGCAGCGGACGTGGGCTTCGAGCAGCTACGTGCCAATGCGGGCGGCATTGGTTTGTATCGCGGGGATACCTGGTGCTTCCGGCGCTCGCACACTTGAAACATAAAGTAGTACTGGCCTCGGATCTTGCGAATGACGGCCGACTGCGTGAAGATGATCGAGTTGGCGCGACGCTACGCCTCATTGTGGCCCGACACATGGATGCGTTATCATACCGTCGCGCGG